TCTTGGGGGTGTCTGAATTTTGCCGTTTTTACCCAAGCGACGGCGTCCGTAAACATCCGCCGCTGTAGTAGGAAGTCTTTGGGACAGCAGGAAGAAGCAGCCCCAAGGTCTGCAAAAGCGCGTTACTTTGGGTAAGCTGAATGACCCCTGGGCTCTCTGTGGGCTTATCGCAGCCATCGGGCTGAAGGTTTTAGCGTCGCCTCCTGGAATTTCGGGTTAATGAGTGACGAAGCGCTTAAGCCGTTTGCTGTTGCTAAAGTTCAGAATCAGGCTGTGGACCAAATATGGTCATGCAGAAGCGTTTTAATGTTAATCTGACAATAAAAACTGTCCTAGCATGACCTAGCATGAAACTGAGAATTAGGTGAGGGTAAAAATACGCGGTGCACAAGGTCACAGGTGTTTGTTTTGAATCAGTAGGGCTTTACTTGATACTCAGTCTTTATTTATTATTCTTTAAGGTGCTTGTTCCCCTTAAGAAATTACTACCAGAGAGTAATTCCTTTAGTGGTACAGTCTGCTGGTGGGGCTTTCTTTCTGAAACTTAATACATCAGAGCTGCTCAAGCAGCGATTCGAAGGAAGCCTCCCAGCTAAAGCAGTTCAGGGAAAAATGCCTCCTCGTGTTCCTTGAATGAGGCCACTTTACTGAGATTTAGCAGAAAAGAGGATGATCTGAAACGAAACCTGGGCTGCAGAAGCCTTCAAAGCGTGACGAACGGAGCAGGCTCTGAAGTTAGAAAACCATAAGGATATTGCAGGGCCCAAATAAGCAGGTTTTGCACCGCGTGTGGACGCCCTTATTGTTAGCAGCTAAAGATGTAATTAAAATGCATGTAATACAGGCATTACTTTCGGGCAGAATTTAGAAAGTATTATTCACCCCTGCCTCGTAGGGCAAACTTTGGTGGCTGCATGTCACTGAAGGTTTGCTCTGCTCGGGGCACCCTGGCGGCAGGTACCGCCAAGGTGGGGACGCTCGCGGGGCGCCTGCCTTCCCCCCCTTCCTGCCAGCTCCTCGGATCCGCCACCGTGCCCACGGTCCCACGGGTCACCGATGACACCGCTCTGGGCTGCCAGCCCAGCGTCAGTGGGACTGGACGGGCCAGGTCACCCTGGGACGATGATTCACGTCGCCCAAGTGGCATGCAGTTGCGTGCTGGAGATACAAATAACCTCGCCGCGCTCTCTGGGGATTTATGACCCATCCGTGGAAAATAACCCGGAAGCCTTTTATCTGGTGAAGCAACGCTGCTCTCCAGCTCAGGGAAATCCAAACTCCAGTTCTCTGTCGCTAACCGGGGCTGGATGTATCCAGAGTTATTATTACACCCTTATGAAAAATAAGATGGTTTGTGGGATAGCCTCACTGCCTTTTTTCTGAGAGCGTAGGACCGCTAACTCCGCCTGTTGTCAGCTGAAATCACGCGGCTACTCTGATTTAAAAACACCTTTGTTTCCAACTGGACCGTAAGTAAGCTGGTCCCTGCCGTTCCCAGCATCGGAGCCGCGCTGCTGTGCTAGGAGGAAGCACGGCTCGCGACGCCGCTGCGAGGAACGAGGAGTTTGGGGCTGAAGGAGGGAACACCCGGTGTTCGGCCACGAAACACCGCCAGGCACTGGGAGCGAAACGGAGCCGTCGTCTCCTCACCCGTGGCCGCAGCTCTGCGTGATGTCGCGGTACTGAGAGGACAGATGAAATAACCAGGGCAGGTTATTACAGGCGCCGGTCTCTGCTTTGAGTTTGCCGGGTGCCGTGCGTGTGGTAGCCATCCCAAAGCCATGGCGCAAGGCGCCGGGGCCGCTCGAAGCGCTGCCCCGGCTCCCCTCGCGCCCGGCT